CAGAAGTACGTCGAAGAAAACCTAGGATTAACCATGGAAGAGGCTACGACCATCTATTATGATGTACAAGGGACGGCAACACCGGCAATGAAGTATGAAAGGGGCAATCTTTTGGTTCCCGATCATGAGTACAAAAATCTGACAACATATATGCGCCACTTACATGAATATTACATGGCTCAAGCAACAGAGATGGACGACTTTGGTTTTGAGTTTATTATCCGTTCGCCACATGTTTTCCATTATCCTGAAGAAGAGAAGTTCGATGTCGAGTGGGAGTGCTTGTTCCAAATATACCGTAAACGCTCTCTCGATGTTCAAATGTTGACGTTGTGGACTATGTAAGTACCCTACACGCATGATATTACAATTAACTACTCTCTCGAGACACAAATTGTTAACTTTTGAGCACTTCCCATGATTTTACGTAGGTGTATAGCAAAATTTTGCATTCTAAAAAGCAAATGGGATTACATAGGCTTCTTGGACACCATGCGAGTCAATGAGAGGACATATCTAGGCCTCTATGGATATGACGTGGAAGACCTGAAACAGAGAATGATTGCTGTTTTCGACGAATTCACGATGAAGAAAAAAAACCACCTACTTCAAGCCTACAACTGCGAGAATGTGTTCTCGGCTTTTAATTTTATGCTTCTTTTTTCGTTAAGATTATTCGATAATTAGGATTCTGTGATTGCAGCAACCATTTCGTCTTTATTTGTGTTAATCTTGCCAAAAATCTGCTCAAGGTGTGGGACTCGAAGAAAAAACCATTTCATCATTTGGATGCACTGGTGGCAGTGCTGAATTAGTAAGCGATCCTAATAACATATTATTTTCTAATCACATATACCGCTTTCTAATGTTTCTCCTTTTAATGTTGCTCAGTGTCCGAAGAAGACATATCGGTGGGACGCCGATCCCATTCAAGGTTGTCGAAATAGAGGGGAAGTACCTATCACAGCCGGCGGGAAACAATGAATGCGGGTTTTATGTAATGTGGGCAATGCTTCGCTACATCGGCGAGAAATCGGAAGAAGCCGATAAGTTGGTGTGTATAATCCCCATTTCATTTATGTCTGTTAATAATTCAATAAAATAATTTACTGTTCCTCTTTGGATATTATCTTTTTTGAATGACAGCGCAAGAAATATAAGCACCAAAGGCTGCTAGACATGGAGATCGTCGCACTACAATTGAAGCTGGCAAAATTCATCTTAGCCGAGATATTGGAAAAAGATGGAGTATTTTCCATTGCACAATCCGTGAAGTACAAGGACTAGTATGGCCCAAAGCGGATCGTCAGATTATTGTAGGAAGTCCGAGAAGCATGTGTGAAGTCCAAGAACATTTCTTTTTTATTTTGAGGGATCGAGATGTGGATAAGAACATTTGAATTGTAATCGTCACATTTGTAATGTTTAATATTGATGGACCTATCGTCTACGTAGCGTATATAAAGCGAAACCCGATTCTACGAAAAAATATAAATTAAAATAAATTATAAAACAATAAAATACGAACGGGCCATAACCGCCGGTTAGCAACAAACCGACAGTGTTGTCGTAACCATCACTGCCGGTTAGAAATAAACCGACAATGTTGGCTTGGTCAACACTGCCGGTTTGATCCACGAACCGAAACTGATATTTACTACAACACTGTCGGTTTGATCCATGAACCGACACTGATATTTACTACAACACTACCGGTTTGATCCATAAACCGACACTGATATTTACTATAACACTGCCGGTTTGATCCACGAACCGACACTGATATTTACTACAACACTGCTGGTTTGATCCATGAACCGACAGTGTAGGCTTGCTCAACACTACTGGCTTGAGCCAAGAACCGACACTCTTGAAGCAACCGTCACTGTCGGTTGTAACTACCAACCAGCAGTGTTGTTCAACTGGACACTGCCGGATGGAGCCAGGAACCGACACTGTTTCCTGTAGATCAATGTCGGGTTTTAAGGACCGGCAGTGATGTCAACTCCCCATCACTGCCGGTATGCCACTGTCGGTTCAAAATCCGACAGTGAAGTGGGTTTTTAAACCGACAGTGATATCCAGATCTGGGGTAGTGGTCACTTCTAGATCATGCATATGTTTTTCGTGTTTTATTAAAAAGGACAGGATAATCTCTTCATTTACTTCACTATGCTTGAACCGTATATGTTTATCACGTAGATCGAACAGATCACAACAGTACTGAGCAACTAACCCCACTTTTTACATGCATGTCCTTTAAAGTTAATATTTATTTATAACATATGTGAAGCATATGGTTTTGAGTCACCTTTAGCTGGTACTGTAAGCGTAGTAATCGATTCTTTGCTTTGTTCTAGTAATCTAGATAGGCATATAGGTATCTTTATTTTTTTTCTTTTTTTCTTTTTCTTTTTACCCTTTCCCTTTAACTGCTTTATTTTTGTCGATCGGTTGCATATAATAAGGCTGTGCAGCGCGTGACATGTTCCTTGCCTGCCTAGCTAGCCTCTTTGTTACATTGAGAAGATTAATCTGTTCACCAACAGATCTACACAAATCCCACCATAGTATGTGAGACGCCCATGCGAATTGGGCTGATACCATACCGATTAGTCGTTGCCAGAGCAAGAGGAGAGGAAAGAGATGAGTAGGAAAAAAATGCTAGGATAAGGAAGGAGGCTCACCCAGCCGCCACTGCCCTTGGAGTTGACTGGGCTTCCCAGCGACCTACTTAAGCGGCGGCAAGGCGTAGGCGGGCGTTGCATAGGATTAGGTGACGCGGCGGCGTTGGGCAGCTAGCTAGTGAAACCAAAGATTACGCACCTCCAATAACAAATAGTACTTATTTTGACCTACTGGTTAAACATATGGAACTTCGACACTTAATAATTTTAAAAACATTTTGTTCGAGACATAAAAATTATAGGGGTAGATTTATATTGAAAAGAACTTTTGTCTCACAGTAGTACTTATCTAACATTACAGCTATTTTCTAAGAAAAATTGTCGTCATAATTAAAATTCGGAGACCACATAACGTCACTTCTAGATCATGCATATGCTTTTCGTGTTTTTAAAGGACAGGATAATCTTTTCATTTACTTCACCATGCTTGAACCGTATATGTTTATCACGTAACAGATCACAACTAAGCGTAATCGATTCTTTGCTTTGTTCTAGTAATCTAGCCATCTAGGTATCTTTATTTTTTTTCCTTTTTTTCCTTTACTTTTACCCTTTCCCTTTCACTGCTTTACTTGTCGATCGGTTTCATATAATAAGGCTGTGCTGCGAGCCTGCGAGTGACATGTTCCTTGCCTGCCTAGCCTCTTTCTCATATTGAGAAGATCAATGTGTTGTAACACCCTGTGGCCTCCTCACTTGTTTTGAGAAAAAAATAATAATTTGAGTGCGTAAAAGTGGCTGCTGGATCATCTATTGGCGTCCATGCTATAGCGGCCATATTCAATTCAACAGCCAGGTATTATTGGTATCCTTGTTTCTTCATGGCTAGTCTGAATATGTAATAAATAACGCGTGTTAGAAAAGTAAAGAGGAGCTCGGGAGATTGATGGCCAAATGCCACCCATCGCTGTATTGACCAGTGTATAGGAGAGAGTTTCGCTGCGGACGAGCCACCTAAAGTCCCAAATCAAAAAGGTGAATGAACAAATTAAATTTATAATAATAGTTTATATGTCTTATGAGAATGAAGAAACATGTATAGTTGATACCTGGAGTAACACACAGTTCTTAACATAGTCATCCATATATATGATGTGAGATTTCGGAGTTTTAACTGTATAAATGATGATGTGACATAACAATTAAGAGGAAAGAGGAGATGAGTTTTTTCATCCTCACGAAACCCGGCTGGCATTGTTTTTCCAACGAAACCTCACCCCTTACGTTTTGCCCATCTTGTCTTACTTGCATTCTCGTGCATCCCATATTTACCATATGCTATATGTATTTTATTTTGCATATGTGACTCTATTATATATTTTCTTATATCATATGAATATTGAAGTAAATTAAACTTTTGACATTTTTATGCTAATACTTAAATTATATGTATATGTAGTATGCAAGTGACAATATTGTTTATATGGTACATTTGATATCACAATACCATTCAAGAATTAAATGCTACAGCGTATAGATAGCATATGAAACAGTGAATGAAACTTTGGATTGAGAGATGTTGTTCCATGTCCTTGTTTTAAGACTGCCACATCTTAGAAACAGATAGATAAAATCTTCGATTAAGACTCGCCTTACCCTTTGATCAAATGCATTACTATTATCTTTCATGCGTTTAATGTGCCAATGGCATTGCCTCCATAGAAATGAACAAAAGAATGGTATAAAACTATACTTTTGCCAAAATCATTGCAACGTTTGAATACTACTACTTGATACCAGTATACTCTCCTATTCCCAAATAAATCAACTTCTAAAAATTGTCCTAAGTCAAATTATTTTATATTTAACCAAATTTATAAAAAAAAAGACCATCAATGCTTATGACATCAAATTAGCATCACCAGATATGCCATTAAATATATTTTTATAATCTACTTATTTGGTATTATAAGCTTTGTTATTCTTCACTATAAAGTTGGTCAAATTGACTTCGGGTGATTTATGACTTGATTAATTTTGGGATGGAGGGGGTATCTTTTTAAAATCGACGGAGGTAGTATTTTATTATACTGCTTGGTTACAAACTTATACTCCCTCCGTTCCAAACTGTAAATCGTTTTGGTTTTCTAAATACTTTTACTATATATCTAGATATAGTGTATATCTAAGTGTATAATAAAAACTATGTATCCAGAAAAAACAAAACGATGACTTATAATTTGGAATGGGGGTATAATTTAAAGAGTCTAACTGCAGATACTAGTAAATAATAGCCAATACTATTGATTATGTCGTCGTGAAATAGTAATAAACAGATAAATCAGAAGTTCTCGGTAATCTTGTGTAGAAGGGATGGCAACTATGGACCGACGTCTCCTGAAAGCAGCCACATCCGGCGACGCTGCATCACTGAAACAACTGGCATCTCATGACCCGGGCGTGCTGCTTGGGACAACTCCACCGGGCAACACCTGCCTCCACATCTCGTCCATCCAGGGCCACGAGGAACTCTGCGAGAGCATCCTGGCGCTGGACCAATCCCCGGCGCTCCTCTCCGCCGTCAACAAGGACGGCGAGACACCGCTGCTGGCCGCCGTGGCAAGGGGTCGTGCGTCTCTAGCCTCTGCTCTGCTCAGGCGCTGCCGTGAGCGGCAGCTGAGCGAGGCGATCCTGAGGCAAGACAGGCACGGGTGCAACGCGCTGCACCACGCCGTCCGCAGGGGACACACGAAGCTGGCGCTCGAGCTGGTCGAAGTGGAGCCTGTCTTGTCGAGAGCCGTCAACGGGCGTAGCGAGTCACCTCTGTTCATCGCGGCGATGAGAAACTTCACGGAGGTGGCGGATAGACTGCTGGAGCTTCCTGATTCGGCTCACTCTGGAGCTTTCGGCTTCAATGTTCTCCATGCTGCTGTCAGAAGTGGAAATCTAGGTAACTGAATAGCACTAATAAGCATTGCATTGTGGTGAATCTTTTTACAAAATCTTGGCAGTGTTATGTACTACGTTCTTGCATCAATGCAATTATGCAATGTAGTAGAGTGCTTAACCTTTTTCTTTTTTGTCCCTCGATTTGCTTTATTTCAGCTATCGCTAAAAAGGTTATGGAGACACGTCCGTGGCTAGCCACAGAGGAGAACGAGAATAGGCACACTCCAGTGCACCTGGCTGCATATGACGGCGAGATTAACGCGCTAGCAGTATTGCTGGAGCATGATCCGTCTTTGGGGTACCTAACCTCCACAGACGGTGACACTCTTCTCTGTGTCGCAGCATCTCAGGGCCATGGTGGTGTTGCTCGAGGGCTTCTTGAACACTGTCCAGATGCTCCCTACTGCGATGCAAGCAGCTCGACATGTCTTCACATTGCCGTGTTGTGTGGACATACAGAGTTTGTAAGATCTATCCTGGGGTTACAGCAGCTTGGCCACCTGATTAACATGCTAAATGGAAGCGGAGAAACTGCTCTGCATCTCGCTGTCAGAAACTGCAAGCCGGACATGGTTGCTGCTTTACAGCTTCACCAGGACATAGACGTAACGGTGCTTAACAGCGCCGGTGACCCGGCAAGCCGGGTGTTGCCTGATGCCGCCAATCACACCAAGGCTTTAATCTCGGTACGCTTTTTTTTTTCTCGCACCGTAAATATATATTTTAGTAGCAAATATGTCCTTGCATTTATAATGGGATGTACAATTGTATGGTGCTCATGCCAATAAGGCAATAATAAACAGCCTACTTTTGTTAGATTTAATTGGGCTTCGTCTAACCTTATTTTAATTAAATAAAAAAATAAATGAAAAATATGATTTAATTAAGGTTGGCCTAACCTTATCTTGATCTGACATATTTACCTCCCCTAATATTAGAAATAACGATAAGTCCCCTAAGGGCTTGTTTGGCTATTCGTATTCACCTCAATTCACATGTGTTGGAGTGGATTAGGGTGAAAATTAGTTAATTTTTCACCCCAATCCAACCTAATACTTGTGGTTTGAGATGAATACAGAGTGTAGTCAAACAAGGCCTAATGGACATCTAAATTAAACAATTATTACATTAAGGAAAAAGATAAACTCAAAGTACCCACTATGTTGGTTTCTATTTCGTGGGTTCTGACTATTCATGAGAAACAAACCAACTCGACCATTATTAAAAATAACAAAAAAGAAGCTTCTGGATTTACTGATATTTGATATTATATAAAACAATAACCCAGAGTACCCTCTACATGTGCTTCTAGATTATAGTAGGTTCTGCAAGTTTTCATATATGGAAACAAAATTTCATATCTTGGGCACTACAATGCAAGCTAGAGTCTGCCTATCTGTGCTATTGAAATTACAAAGAAAACAATCTATGATCTAGAATCCATGCCATCTTAATATTAGTAATTGGAGGCATCTAAGAGAGCCTCCATGTTAATCCTCACAAGATGCTAAGGAAAAACAATAAATCCTAGAAATTCTCACAAAAATGAAAACCATCTTGCCTTTAATATAGTAGTCTCCAATCATCATCACCTATAACAGTTACTGGATCTATTCTATTTTTCTAAAATATTACCCATCTTTTGCTATTACGAAAAATACATAATCTAACATCCTGAATTTGAATCTGAATTACCCACCTATAGCATTATAATAGATAATGCAAAGTAACAGCCTAAATTTCATTTTAAATTGCACAGATCTACCATTATGAAAGATAATATAAAATAACCCCTTTAATTTGTATCCAAATTATCCATCTCTACTGTTATAAAAATTTAAACTAAAATATCCCTCAAATTTTTGTCTAGATACTAATATATAACCTATTATGGAAAAAATTCAATAAACATAAAGTATGACATATATGGTTATAAATTACACATTTCTTCTACGCTTAAATTAAAATTAAGCATAAATGCTATGTGCCAACATTTTAAGGGCTGTAATACAGGTTCAAAGGACTGTTTATGACATTGCAGCAACCAAGAGTGTAGTTAGAACATAAAATCTAATAAAATACAAAAGGGAAATTCTAAATAAAAATGCAGTAAGCACTAGAGTTTTGGGTTAACATATGGATAAAAAATAATTGCAGACAACTAATAAGATCAAAAGTTAAAAGCTAAAATATAGATTCATCATGTCATAGAAAATAATGCAACAAGAACTAATATAACTTAATGCATATGAAAACCCTATATAGGTGCAATTCAAAGTATGACAATATGTATCGTAATATTACTAACTTGAGGATCTAAACATAGCATCCATATTAATTCTTACAAGATGCATTAGCAAAAGAATAAATCCTACAAATCATCATCTGGCAGAGAACTCTAATAATCATATAATAATTATAGGCTATATTCTATTTTCTAAAAACGAACCGCTTTTGGCATTTAAAAAAAGGAATAAATAACCCCCTAAATCTACATCTAAACTACTAACCTTTACCATCTTGAATGATATTTTAATTAATATGTTCCCTAAATTTTCTTTTAGATCACCTGACTCTACCATTATGGAAGATAGCACAAAAAGTAACCCTTTAATTGCATCTAAATTTTCTGTATTTGCCTCTATCATATAGAAACTAAAACATCCCTCGAATCTAAATCTAAATTACTGGTATAAGCTATTATGAGAAAGAATTAAATAACCATAAACTATACTATAAATATGGTTCTAATTACTTGGGTTCTACTACTGTTAAATTCAAAGTAGACATAGATGCTATGTGTCACCATTTATACCAAGTATACATGGATACATTAGTGATAAATATATATTTTTGTAGTTTATCGATCATGAAAATAAAATGTTCCCTTAACAAACCACATATAAATGACACCGATAATTCATTTTAAATTATATTGAAACTCTATGGCACTTAATTTTATAAGTTGCTCGTTTTTAAAAGGACAAGTTACTTTATATAAGCTTATACTTTTCGACAAAATCCTTATGACATATTGTGCAGGTAGTGTCATTTGAAGCACTCTATTTTTAATAAAACAATACCTATATATTTTAAAATACTACACATATAATTTTATATCAACTCCGGCAACTTTTTAAAACACTTATATATTTTAAAAAATTGCTAGCATATACAGGAGCAGGAGCAGGAGTCGAACCGACTAGTTAGATTTAATTTATTCGTTATATTCGATCAAACGTTTACTAACAAGTAGTAGCATTCTTATATTTGCTATATTTTAGACGACGGCACATCAAACAGCTACGGCCGCCGTTAATTCGACAGGAGCTGCCATAAGCACACCCTCCGATGGAGCAATCATGATGAATTCATCATCAGGAGCTCCCACGACTCCACCACCATCAGTGTCACTGGCAATCCACCAACGTCTCCTGGGCGCAGCCGTGTGCGGCAACTCCGCGGAAATGAAGCACATGGCCCTGCAGACCCCGGGGGTGCTGCTGGGAACAACTCCCCAGGGGAACACCTGCCTCCACATCGCCTGCATCCATGGCCACGAGAGGTTCTGCAGGGACGTCCTGGCGCTGACGACCAACCAGCAGTCTCCGGCCCCGGCGGCGCCTCTTCTCGGCGCCGTCAACGCCGACGGCGAGACACCGCTGCTCGCCGCCGTGGCCAGCGGCCACTTCTCCCTGGCCTCGTTCATCCTCGGGCGCTGCCGTGACGAGCAGCTGAGCGAGGCGATCCTGGCGCAGGACAAGCGCGGGTTCAACGCGCTGCACCACGCCATCCGCAGCGGGCACCGGAAGCTCGCCCTCCAGCTGATCGACGCGGAGCCCGGCCTGTCCAAAGCTGTGAACATGTACGACGAGTCGCCCATGTTCATCGCGGTGATGAGGAACTACGCGGAGGTGTCCGAGAAACTGCTGGAGATCCCTGATTCTGCTCACGGGGGAGCGTATGGCTACAATGCTCTGCATGCTGCCGTCAGAAGTGGCAATCCAGGTATGCATGTCTTCTCTTCTCTTTATAAAAGCAGAATGTATGATGATGCCATGCATGGCTGTTAACCATGCATGTCCTGCCACGTACGATTTGGTTTCTCAGTTGTTGTCGCGAAAAGGATCATGGAGACACGTCCCGGGCTGGCCAGAGAAGAAGACGAGCACATGGTGACTCCAATGCACATGGCTGTACAGTGGGACAAGATTGACGTGCTAAGAGTGCTGCTGGAGCATGATTGGTCCCTAGGGTACGTACTCACCTCGAATGGTAACCCTATTCTTGATTCAGTTGCACGTCAGGGATACGTCGGGGCTGCCCGAGAGCTTCTCAAGCATTGCCCAGATGCTCCCTACGCCCGTGCAGATGGCAAAACGACATGCCTTCACCAAGCCGTTCAGGGTGGTCACATGGAGCTTCTGCAATTCTTCCTGGGGTCAAAGCATCTTCGGAAGCTAGTCAACATACGAGACATCATGCATGAGACTCCTCTGCACGACGCCGTCCGAAAGTGCAATCCCAAGATAGTCAATGCTTTGCTGCAACACCCGGACACCGACGTCACAGTGCTCAACATCTCGGGTAACCCGGCTACCTGGCTACTATCTCCTATGACCGACCACGCCAAGACTTTAAACTGGGTACGCTTAATTATTTTCTCTTGGACTTGCATTGTTTTTTCCGGTCCCCTTGACTATAGCTCCCTATATAATACATCAGTCCGATCCCTTGACAACGTATATATTCATTACATACAAATACAATACAATAATATCAGCCTAAATATATGTTTTAAGTTCTCGTCATATTATAAATCTATGTTTTTGATTTTTTTCAAATGGTCTCGAATGGATACATGACCTATATCAAAGTAGTAGTGCTCAATGTGATCGATCTAAAACTTTCTAATTGATTTGTTTTCGTTTGAGATAGTTTAGGTCGCCAAATATTTTATAAAAAGTTTCATAGAAGTTGATACAAGGGATGTCATGGTATATTCACTCATAGGTGACTGTGAGCGAGGTAAGATGACACAAGTTCAAGTCCTAGAAAATGCATGCACATGTATTTCTTAGTGGTAGGAAACCCGCCTCTAGAAATGCTTCATATCGGTATACTAAGTAGTGGGTGCTAGTCTATGACTGTGGGTTGAACGACAACAACACTATGGGGCAGAGCAGTCTGATTTTCTTTCCTTTTTTTGTAATTTTTAACAATTTGCAAGATAGAGGGTGTTTATATCTTATGAGTATATTTGGACACTTATGGACTTATACAACTACGAATGATTAAACGTTTACATATATTGCATAGCAATCTGGAAACTTATCCTGTGCACATTAATAAACGATCCATACAAACTATTTTAGAGGGGAAAAATCAAATGACCATGTTCAAATCAACAACCACCGCAAGATATGCACCATTAAATTGTTGAAATCAATGACAGATAGGTAAGCAACTAAAGATATATGGTTGTCAAAATGAATAAGTACTCTGTAGCCTTCTTTTTTAAACAAGAGGATACTATTAAAACATTGTAACAGAAATATATCAGCACCTGAGAAAAACAGTTTGCTACCACTAACTAGCGGACACAATGGTGGAATATTGTCTTTTTTGAGTATTGTGCTGATGTGTGCTCCGCACATACCTTTCTTTGAGACCTTGTAGAATGAAGTCTCCATGCTTATGCTGAAAGCTGATCCTGAAGCAGCAAATGATACTTATAACCTTCATAAGCAAATCAAGGATCGAGTAACTTCTGAATCAAGGAAGGATATAAAGACATTGACTCAGACATATACAAGCAACACTTCTTTAGTGGCAATCCTCATTGCAACATTCACCTTTGCTGCTGCTTTCACCTTGCCTGGAGGATATAGCAATGATGCTGCAAGTGAGGGGTTACCCATCATGGCAAGAAAGATTGCATTCCAGGCATTCTTGATCTCTGATTCATTGGCAATGTTCTCCTCGCTGGCTGTTGCTTTCATATCCATAATAGCAAGATGGGAGGACTTTGAGTTTTTGCTTCATTACAGATCCTTTACTAAGAAACTTATGTGGGTTGGCTACATAGCAACCACCACAGCATTTGCAACAGGTCTATACACAGTTTTAGCCCCTCGCCTCCTATGGTTGGCCATAACAATTTGCCTTATGTCGGTTCTACTGCCCGTTCTTACGAAGCTACTAGGTGACTGGCCTGTCTTGAAGCTTAGAATTCATCTGGGCAAAACATTCAAGCCAGAGCTCCTTGATATGGTTTGATTTCATCAACTCATCTTATTTCTTCCAACTACTCTCTGTTTTACTATATTTAAAAAAAATACTATGTATGCTTCATGTTGTTTGAATAAATTAAATGTCATTGTGATTTTGAATGACATGTAAACACTAAACTTTGTATTTTGATGTTTGCATACAAGGTAACCAGTGTAGCTCTGGCCCTTTATCTGCAATGGAAGTGCATAATATTTTTTTCTATGTTGGTTCTACTACCCATTCTTACAAACCTACATGCAGTGGCAGACACAAACAAAAAATCAGGGGAAGAGGGATTATCTTCAACCGCTAGCAGGGAGCAACGTCTTTAATCTCTTCTTCCTCTCTTCTACTCCTAAAAATTGATTGGTGGGGGCAAAGGGGTGGGGTGCGCATCTTCAAACTCTAGCAGGGCACGTCTTTAATCTCTTCTTCCTGTTTTCCACTATTCCTAAATAATTATTTGGATCACAAGGGGCTGCATGGCCAACCGACGAATGGTAGGGTGGGCTTGAGCCCCACTGATGCCCCCTTATCCTGCATGCAGTAGCAGGGGCAATGTTTTGGGGAAGATGAAAAGGAGCGCTCGATCGTCGGAACATCGGATACGTGTGAAATGTATGTCTAGCTTCATAGCCATCATAAGGTGCATGCAAAATGGGGACATCATGCTTTTTTGGCGAACCAGATCACCATCTTCGTCACGATATATGGAACAAATTTAAAGCGGAGAGTTCTAGGACTTGCAGTTATAGAGCGGGCTAGGAAAAAGCAAGCTTCACGGGTCATGAAACTCAAGCTGGGAGACGCAAATTCAAAATTCTTCCACCGTAGGATCAACGACCGTAGAAGAAAGAACCATATCCAACGGTTGAAAAAGGGTCAAGGATGGGCTTTCGAAAACGAGGACAATGAAAAAGTAATTCTTGATCACTTTGCCGCTGTAATGGGGCGCCCCATAGAACGCACACTAGATCTCAATTGGGACAACCTTGACCAGCCGGCGCTCGACCTTCACTCGCTCGACGATCCTTTCTCAAAGGACAAAATCAAAACTGCCAATTTCCAAATGCCAGCTGACAAAGCGCTAGGCCCAAATGTCTATACAGGTGCTTTTTTCAGAGCATGCTGGGATGTGATAAAAGGCGATTTTATGGAGGCGGTGATTGCTTTCCACAATCTACGGATCTCGAGCCTACCACTTCTAAACTCAGCCAACATTGTGCTAATACCGATGAAAGAGGGCGTTGATTATGTGACAGACTATAGGCGGCCCATAAGCCTCATTCACTCATTTGCCAAAATCATTGCCAAAGCTCTGGCCCTAAGACTTGCTCCGTACATGAAGACCACAGTGCCACCTACACAAAGTGCATTTATTAAAAAGAGAAGCATCCATGACAATTTCATGGCTGTGTGAAACACAGCCACAGGTTTTGCTCAACGAAGTCCCCTGCACCCCTCTGATGCACGGCAGAGGCCTACGGCAAGGCGACCCCCTCTCACCGCTCTTATTTGTTATCACCATTGACCTGCTGCGACGCCTCCTGGACTTAGCAATAGAGAGAGCCATTCTAAGCAAGTTAAGGGGGACACATGCACAACATTAAAACCTCCATGTACGCAGAAGATGCAGCCCTCTTCATCAATCCTCGAAAGAAAGTCATCTCCACCTTGGCAAATATTCTTACTTGATTCAGAGAGGCAACAGGTCTCCTAACAAACTTTCAGGAGTCCACAGTAGTCCCAATACAGTGCTCCATTGCTGACCTCCCAGCAACACGAGTGCACTTTCTGATCAAGTACCTAGGCTTACCTCTCACCACTACGCGATTACGGCGTGTGGACCTTCAATTCCTTGTCGATAAGGCAGTTGGCAAATTTATCTCTTGGAATGGAAAAAACACAACTCCAACAGGTTGACTCACGCTGATCAAATCGGTGCTCATGTCACAACCGGTTTACCTGCTCACAGCCCTGCAAGCACCCAAGGAGGTGCTAGATGAAATTGACAATAAGAGGAAACAATTTATGTGGGCCGGTTCTAAAGCTTTGATCGGAGGAAAATGCAAAGTTAATTGGAGCCGTGCAAGAAGGCCAACGTGTACTGGAGGCCTTGGGATCCTACACTTGGGAAGGTTCACTACGGCGCTTAGGCTTCGATGGCTGTGGCATGAATGGAAGTCAAGCGATAAGCCCTGGGTGGGGGTCCGAAATCCCCTGCAACAGAACTGACCACCTCTTGTTTGCTGCTGCAACAAAGATTACCATTGGGGATGGCAAGAAAACTTCCTTTTGGTATGGGGCCTGGAGTCAAGGACAAAGGCTAAAAGATATTGCGCCAAACCTCTTCAAAATTTCTAAAAGGAAAAATAGATCCCTTTATGTTGCCACTCAAAATCAAAACTGGATCAAGGATCTTAACTTGCAGCACCGTGGCTTCAATGCACAACACTTTATCGAGTACGTGGCAATATGGCGTGTGGCAATATTGCAGCATGGTTGATGGTGAATATTGTGCAAACTCAGCTTACAGAGCCCAATTCTTAGGGTCGACAACAGCCAATTTTGGCACACCCATTAGGATGGTTTGGGCACCACCTAAATGCAAATTATTTGGATGGCTCGCCATCCAAAATAGACTTTGGATGGCAGATAGGCTCCAGGCGAGAGGTTGGTCCAACAACGTTGTTTGCCCCCTCTGTCGTAGAGAGCCAGAAACTGTCCTCCATCTTCTCGCTCATTGCAGATTGCAGATACTCCATGTGTATTTGGGAGGAACTTGCTGCTTCGATTGGACTCAGTGGCCTCTTTTTGCCTTCCTGGTTGCAAGCCGAATCGCTTCATCAATGGTGGACCTCCCTATCAGTCGTACCTTGCCACTCCAGGAAAGGAATGTGTTCTATGATCATCTTAGTTTCATGGGAAATTTAAAATGAAAGAAATGCACGAATATTCAATCACAAAGAGTTACCTCATAATCAGCTACTTCAGAAAATAAAAGATGAAAGCGAGATGTGGATTATGGCAGGAGCGAAACATCTAGCAATATTCAATCACAAAGAGTTACCTGAGAGTTTACAAAGTCTAGGAGGGGGTCGCTCCATATCACAGACTGGCATGGCACACGGGTCCCAACTCACACTAGAGCGAGCTAAATCGTGAGCACATGAGTTACAAGAGCGATTAGAATGGACGATCACGACCTCAATGAAGGACGAAGCAATCTCAGCTCGAGCTTCCCTGAAGAGCAAGCGGCCCACCCGGAGCTTGATCATAGTCACTGCTGGTTCAGAGAGCTCTTACCAGAGATAGGGAATCCGTCTCTAGGATGATCCATGATAAACCATATTGTATGGCTGCTTGTAAGGCTGCAATGCAGGCCTCTGATTCCGCACATAAGGCCTCTGTGTCGCTGAAGGGCTCCCCCTCTCGCGGGAGAGCACCCGCACCACAGGCAAGGAACGGGAACGGGACGGCGACGGCGAAAATCCACACACGGAGAGACAGAGACAGAGACGGGAGGTTGGGCTGCCGTGCCGTCCCGTCTCGTCTGGACGTCTCCTTCCCTTGGCGTCCCGTCACTAAGCTTGGGCAGTTTCTGGAACAGATGTATAGGACCCCTTCAGCGACGCAAAGCAAACACACAACATTAAATTTCGCAGACCAAGATTGTCGCCAGAGGCCCATACTTTCTGCTTCTAGGCAAACACAGCTCTATGGGCCGAAGCAACTACAAAGAGTATACGTGTCCCGCCCTTTTTCCTCATAGGCCTGTAAAATGATGGAAAATGGACGGGTCGATGGGCACCGCGAAAGTAGGCCCATTGGTTCATGTCACCTCACTATTCTTAACAGTGTATATACGAGTAAAATGTATAGGGCGATTTTGGACGAAGTTGACACCGAAGACGGGACAGACAAGCTTAATATATATAGAATAAACCTCATTCAACGTGAATTCGTACTAAATAAAACAGAATAAGGTAAAAAGTACTTTCTCCACTTCAACATATAGGTTGTATAAGTTAGGATTAAAAGAGGTGCAAATTTCAAAAAATTTAACTAAAACCATTACTCAAATTTGATATAAATTTCATAAACTGATTATATCTTGCAACAGAGTGTACTTCAAAGTTTTTTCCAAATGTTAATGTCCCTTGTAAAAATAAATGGAGCACACGGAATACAATGACAATAATGACAATAATTTGTTGTGCACAAGAATACTACTGTTTTATTTCACACTTGGATACTGTTGTTTGGATAAAAGGCTTCCGCCTGCATCTGTTAGGCAGTGCTTGCTCTGCGGCGGATGCTCCCATGTGCTTTTCTCTGCTATGCGATGCATGTGTTGTGCTTGTATCCACATGTCACTGTCACCCATCATAATTCTAAAAAATATTATACTCATGTTTACAGATGGATCAAAGCCATCATAGAACTAGGCATCACAGTAGGTATGCCATTGCTCAAGTTCAAAAATAAGATAGTTACATGCCATCACCCATTCAGGAAATACAGCCACAAGGTTGCTTCAGACCAAGAGACCCTCAAATCAGTTCATAACTGATGCAATTCTGAACCACCAAGTTTGGATATAAGTATATAAAAAACAATAAACACAACTTTGCAGCCACTAACCGGCAGCACAGAGTTATAAATATGAGTGTGAAGCATTGTTAAAAATTACAAACAAATAAACACTTTCAGAGAGATTCCATTACATGCATATAAGAATAAATGGATGGCCAATAGATTTTTGAAATTGAAAATAAGCAAACTTACTTGTGTTTGATTGTGTTCCAAGCTTATTCACTTCTTTAGTCAGCCACAAAGCACGAAGTCTTGTTTCAAAGCCTAGAAATATCTCTTTGTTCGTGGCATCGTTAAAAACCTCGGAAGCAAGGATCTTTACATCAAAAGACAGACCAACCATGTCCTTTAAGATTTTTTTTTATTTTTAACACTTTTTGTAAACTAATTTTAAATCTAACACTGTTTAATTTTTTTTCAAGGCTAACACTTTTTGCCGTGCCTATTGCCATGGCACGGTGAAACGCCTATGCCGCGCAATGCATGGTGGCGCGGCGGGACGATGACGTGGCGACGATCGGGGCACTGACCGATGACGTGGCAGGGTCTGCCGCGCCATAGACCATGGCGCGGCACTGACGCGTCAAGGCCCACGGCGCGGCAGGACCTGGACGCAGACAGAACACCAGCCTCAATTGCAATTGAACGGGAGCAGCTGTCGGTGAGGATCGGCAGCGACGCTACCATGGACCCGGGCTTCGCGTCGCAGCTGAACGGCACCTGCAGCTCCGAACCCAACGCCTTCGCCTTCCTCGACCCCTCGCCGGTGGGCTTCGACAATGCCTTCTACCTGAACCTGCAGGTCGGCCAGGGCCTCCTGGGCTCCGACCAGGTGCTCTACTCCTACATGAGGTCGCGCAGCACGGTCGACTACTACGCGTCCAACCAGGGTGCCTTCTTTGGTGATTTCGTGGCGGCGATGACCAAGCTCGGGTGGATCAGGGTCAAGACGCCGGCCACCAACGGCAAGATACGCCAGGACTGCCGGTTCTCAAACTAGTTGCTTGTTAATCTCGCCGGCAGTGCTGCCGCAACGCATTGAAATGAATATGAAGCAAATAAATTGAGTCCGTGCGCAAGTTGACAAGTTGCCACATAACATTTTCATTGGTTCGACATAAGTTTGACATAACATAACCAACTAAGTCTACAAGTTTCGGACGACAATATTCATTAGACATAACAAACTAAGTCACAGGAGTGTAAGGATCCCTCGGATGCCTCTATCTCTTCGGATTTATAGGCAACACATTGGGAGTGTAGCCAACGTCAGTGTGGTCGCATTGCCGGTGCGTATGGCTCGTACCCTACAAGTATATGATATGCATGATTACTTATAATATGTATTATCGTTAGTTTATGGAGCCTACGTATTTAAAGAAACTACCTTTGTTACTACTTGTGAGGCTCCTTGGGTACCAAGCGGGGCACCACCTAGCTGAGACATTCCGATCTCGTCCTGCTGCCAATCGTCCCACTAGTGGTGCTGTATGCGGAAGCCCGGGGGGGTCATCGTCGTCCTCGTCGTCATCGTTTGCAGGGTCCTTCCCTTTTGCATAAATAGACGTTAAAGTTAGTGCATTTCCTAAACACATATACACTAAAGAAACATTTTCAGAATGGACAAGTTTATGTTTACCTCCACAAAAGCCTCGAGAACGCCTGGCCGTGCCCTCTAGACTCGTGAAGCCGAAACGCTGCTTTGTTGGACAGCCTTGACAATTGTGTCGCCTGGGTACAGAAACATGGTTGGACAGTTTTAGTACAGATACTTAACACCAAATGGATAACAAATGGTACCATTTGAGTATCTTACAACGTATC